AGTACCTTTTAAAAGTAAACTAACACGCAAAATGAACATTGCATGTCATTTCTAAGGTGTACCTACCTGAGGACATACAGACCCACGCTGCAACTAATCGAGAGGTCATTGCAAATATCCACAGCAGTTTCAACAAACTCAGAGATGTAGCTGAGCGGATGGCTCAGCGCTCACGGGAAAACTCAACCGATCTGCTTATGTTTGGCAAAGACCTGAGGTGAGCACTTCATCATTAATTATAAAATATATAAAATATACCATATAATCAAATATAACCATGTGTGTTTGTGTATACACACACACACACACACACACACATATATACACACACACACACACACACACACACACACACACAAAATCTGAAAAAATCTATTTTAATATAAATATAAATCTGTAATAATCAGATGAGTGAAATGGAGGGATACATAAAATATCCACAAATGTACATGACTAAACAGTACAATGTGCAAAAGTGTAGCTGCACTTACTGATCTGTTGATATTAGGGTTAACATTAAATTATATTATGAATGACTTAATATTTGTAATTAAACTATTAAGAGAAGTGTCTATTTTCTATCAATAAGACAATTTTATTGGAGTGGTTTGTAACTTATCATATGCAATGGCAGTATGATACAATGTTATTTTAGTAATATTAATAATCTATTATGATTATTATTAATATTTTGAATTCATTTTTATTTTTATATTTCGTATATATGAATTTTATTTAAAGTTTTGGTTATTTTTATTACTTTTAAAAAAAATGTCTTTATAGCTTTTATTAATTTCTATTTTCAGTTTGAGTTATTTTCATACTTCAAGTTGAACTGAATGAAAATGAGAAATGTTGCTTTGGCAACTAGCTGTGTTTTAAGTTTAAGTGCATATATTTTGTTTGATTTTATTTCAATGAATGGTTCATTTATTGTGTTGTTATTAAGTGACAAAGATGTTTTTATGGTTTTAGTTTTAAATAATAACCCTGATATGTAATACTGAAAATATGACAGTCTGTGTGGACAATTCTGAGTTTATTACTTGACTCTTCAACAGTGAACTGGGCTCAGACACATCAGACCTGCCAGTGAATGCCACAATGAGCAAAGCATGGAAAACACAGAGGAAGTCACTTGTAGAGCTGTCAGGAGAATTTGGTCTTCTTGCCGACAAAGCTGCACACCAGGTATTAAAACATGATCATTATTGAGCATTAGTCTAATCACAAACACCACTACAAAAATGACTGAAATTATGCACATCACTGAACTGTACTGAATGTCTTTAAGCACCTCAATGTTATTAAGACACCCACAATATTATGCCTCTCATGACCATTTCTGGGGACATTTTGCTCTGGTTGAAAGGAATTTAAACGTAGTATTTCAAATGCTTTCTTATTCACCAGGGCAGCAGAGAGGAGGATGAGGTGGTGGAGAAACTGAACCTTCTCCTTGAACAGCTGCAGTCGTATAAAGTGAGTACTGTCTGTACAAAACTTTTCATATCAATTTTGTATTAATACAAAATTGTATTTAATGAATGTTACTGGGCCATAATCAGCTGGTATAAGATGAAGTAATAGTTAGGTCATACATTGTTTTGCATGTAGGATTGAACCGATATCTATGTAAGGACTGCCATTTTACACTTTAACAATTCAACTGTAACAACATTCAGATGCTAAAATACTTGGATGTGTATGTGTATAGGACTTGTGTGATCGTCACGACAGCGGTGTGTTACTAGAGCATCAGAGAGCATTTGAAAAGCGCAGCGGGCCTGTGGCTAAACACTTAAAGTACCAGAACAGCTTTGAGCAGCCAGAGTCTCGACTCACACAGGTAATACACAGCAAATACACCAACATACAAACTATACTTAACCAAGCCAAAGTATACAGGTAGGGGAGACCTGGGGCAATTGTAACATTTTGTAAATGTTCCTTCTTAACTCAGAGACTACTTGAAATACACTAGTCATCTTTTGATACAAGAAACAAA